TGCTTTCAGCATCCAACTGTCTAGTCAGCCCCAACTTTCAAGTCTTCCTAGCAAGACTCTGGACATTGTGGAGCATAGAGGTGCTGTCTTTACTGTACCCTATCCAAATTCCTGACCCAAAGAATCTGGAGACATAATAAAATGGCTATTGTTTTATACTACTATGTGTAGGTGGTTTGTTATACAGCAATTAGTAATGACAACTCTTTCTAAGATGACATCTAGCTTATAAACAGAGAGAGATATTACTTGACATCTCAATGCCAGAGGAGGAAGAGCAGTGTTTTACATGTGGTATTTTCAGCCTGTTCTAGTATCTGTGGTGATGCTGTGGTCTTCCTGGTGTTCTTTTCCTTGCTGGCATTAGTGACTAACATGTGTGGATGCTATAATTGGCAGTCTTTTTCTCTTTCTCTCTGGGCTTGTCATAAGGCATGTCTGGGATGACTTAAACTCTTTTCCACTCCCCTACTCTAGACCCCACAGAAGCCTATGTGACTCCTTCAGTGCCAGCTCCAATGTTCAGCTCTGGAGCCCCTATTAGTACCTCTTTCTGCAGACTTGCAGTACTTCTGGAATGTGTCTATGACACGAGACACCAAAAGTAGTGCAGTACAGATGAATCTTAGAGGCTCCTTCTACCTGACTATTCTAGGCAACTGAAAGGGCAGTTTGAATGGCGATGCATTTCAAGAGTCCTTAACAGGAATGGGGATAGGAGACTCCCTATATCTTCCTGCCATTATTCTCATTTACCTAATGTACTTCTCTGTCTCAGAAGAAGAGACTCTGCATGATTAAAGAATAAATGGGAAAATAGGAAAATATATTGCCCCTTTTTGCTGTCCTGCTTTTTTTTTCTTTTTTGCTTTCTTTCTTTGATTCCCCATGTAGGCTCTTCCCAATCTCCCTTCTGTCTCTAACTCTTCCCTAAGCTTTCACAGCCAAGGAGTTTTCTCTACACATTTGTAGAACTCCATGATCTGACACTTAATTACTGATATTCTAAAGTCCTTGAGATTGTCAGTTGGATTACAAGGCAATCGTCTTGCTGAAAAAACATATCCCATTTGCTCTTTGGTTGGCATTTTTCCTGAAACAAACTTAGTCTTCTTCTTGGGCAAGTGAGTGGTTATGTACACTGAAAAGAGGAAAACATATCATTAATTTTCAAAATTTCCCCCTTTATTGGTGATAATGCCACATTACTTGCTTATACTGAGCTCTCAGTATCCCAGCTTGGCCTTGAGTATGAGCTGTGGTCAATATTAAGGTTCTGTAAGATTATTCTTAGTGCACTCTGCTTTTTAAATATTCTATTTTATGCTCTTTTATTTCAGTTTTGAAAAGCGTACTTGCTCTGCTTCCTTATGATAAAGTATATCCTCCAGAGTCCTACTACTTTTTTCTTCTTTTTGTTTACCTATTCCATATTTCCATCCTTCTGATTCTGGGTTGTCTGCTTCATCAAAAATTTGTTCTTCGCCTATACTCTTACTTTTTATATATGCCCTGCTCCCTTGGTTTTCATTCATTTCCTTGCTCTGATTTGAAGTTCCTCAGCCTTCCCATGTTGCATCTTATTCTGGTGCATGTTAGAATATCTAGAAAGGTGCACAAAATTCAGCTCCGATTGAATCAGGCAATAATAGCGATTCACTGGCTCACATTTTTTTCAGACATCTAACTTCGGGAAAGAATTAATATGGCACACATGGCATCATGTTTCTTTCTGATTCTCTTCTGCCTTTTATCTGTTGATTTCATGCTATAGTAGTTGTAGGAGGCCTGCCAATAGCAACCTGGGACGGATGCTGCCTCGTTTACAGCTAATTGTGGGGAAAAAAATGCTTTCACATAAACTACTCAACAAAAATCCTGGGATTTAATCTGTTTGAATAGAGCCAAGCCCCATGCCTGATACTGAACCCACTACTATTTCTGAGACGATGGCAATTTTCTTAGGCTGATTAGATTCTGCCCCTAGGCCTGGCACTGGGGTCACTCCTACTCAAACTGTCTGGCAACTGTACACTGGGAAATGGGAAAAGTGGATTCAAGGGGAGCTGAATACATCTCTTAACAATTTGTGCCAGCTGATTAACCTCTTGTTTTCCTAATTCAATGTTCCCAGACTTTACTCTGATAACTTGAAGGGGAGTATTTATGCCAAAGAGATTGGGAAATGTTACATATTAGCTTGCTTTTTTTTTTTTTTTAAATGGGCAGGGTATTTTTTTTTCCCCCATTAACTTTATTGGTACATTTTAGGTATACAATACAGATACATTCATCATTGGGATCTTGTACCATTACATGAGTCTCTTGGTTCTTATTTTTTTTCTCCTTCCCTTGCCCTCCCTTCACCCCCTCCACCCTTCCCTATTT